TGCATATAGACATACATATGCATACATACATACATATTACATACATACAAACATAGATACAAACATACATACATACATACATACATACATGCATGTAGACATACATACATACATAGATACATAACATTAAGAAAGTAGACACACCAAATGTAACCGCCACTTGGATAGAAGAGAGAGTCTGAGAAACTGGGAGCTGGGACGCGATCCCGACTTTTGATCCATCAATCGTGATTCTCAAGTTGGCTGGGGCCATGTACTGTTGGTTTAACAAAAATCCATAACTTTCTGTAAAGGACAAAAAAAAAAAAAAAAAAAAAAGGTCAATGAGAAAAAAAGGAACCACCTTTACCGGAACAGAAATTGTGAAGTCCGAAAAATTTCCTCCTCCTCCCCCCCCCTCAATCATGGGAGGAGAACAGAGTCCTACAGAATTTCTGACAAAGGTCGTAATTACTAATTTGTGATCTTTTGGAACACTTCACGATTCCTGAAAGACCTTGGTGAAAGATGTCGAAAGATTCTTCGCAGATTGGAAGATTGGTGGATAATACTCTCTCTCTCTCTCTCTCTCTCTCTCTCTCTCTCTCTCTCTCTCTCTCTCTCTCTCTCTCTCTCTCTCTCTCTCTCTCTTATATCAAACCTGATCCAATCGAATATAATCATCATTGGCAGCTCAAGCGATAGAGATCGTTTCTTCTTGCTTTTATAATACAACAACAACAACAACAACAACAATAAACAACAATAAACAACAACAACAACAACAACAACAACAACAATCCAATCATGATTAGTGGAGATCAAGAGAAGGTTCGCGGAGCTCGCACGCACCTCGAAGGCAAAATGGCCAAAAAACTGTGAAGCCCATCCAATGATCTGAATCGCCAACGCCACCTGAATCAACGGTGTAAGCAGGAGGACAACAACAGCGCAACGAAAGCATGAATTATTCTATTGAAATATAAACATATATTAAAATAGTAAAGTATTAAATAAACAAGATTTAAAAATACAAATTATATATTAAAATAAATTAAGTACATTTAATTTAAATACAACCAAGAAAGGAATCTTCGGCTAGAACATCGAAAGATACACCACCATGATTTTTGTCTTCTTTTGGGCAATCGAGAGTAGTGCAGCGACGCCCCTTATTCGCTGTTTTCAGCGCTTTGCGCTTTTTGAAATCTCCTTGGTCTCCAAAAAAAAAAAAAAAAAAAAAGCAAAAAAAAAAAATATACTTGGGTCTTCAACAGCAGGTTAGCATTTTTTCTCAGTTTGGACTTTCCCGTGGGGCGACGGCGCACGTCCGTCTTCCCCCGAATACAACGCACCCTGATAATGAACGTATAGAAGGTTTGTTTCCGGCCCGATACATTCATAATGAGGGTGCGTTGTGTTCGGGGGAAGATGGTAGCAAAGAGGACAATCGACGGTCAGAAACACTTTCGCATCCGGCGGGAGTGTGAGTGGGATCTCGCCCTCTGGGCAAAGAGGCTATGAGGAAGCGCTTGAATCTGGACGTGTTTTACGTAGAGATGCAGAAAACCAGATCGGTCGGGGACTGGAAAGAAAATGAAGGCCAAGACCAACTTTCTTCCCCTTTTCATTAGAAAAACGAAAGAAGGAAAAGTAGGGATGCAGACAGATACAAAACAGAGAAGAAGGAAAAAAAAAAAAAAAAAAAAGGTTGCAGACAGATACGAATTGGGTTAGCATATTACTGAAACAACACACACGAGTTTCGGATCCGATGACAGAGATGTTTTTCTTTTCTTTTTTTTTTTTTCTTTTTTTTGATATGGAATTTTAGGAGAGGGAGGGGAAGAGGTAGAAGAGAAGAGGAGCAGAAAGAAAGAACAGGTAGAGGAGCAAAGAAGAGGAGGAGGAAAAAAGAAGAGCAGCAGCAGCAGGAAGGAGGAGGAGGAGGAGGAGGAGGAAAGAAGTTGGGGGGAAGGAAGAGGAGGAGAAAACAAGTGCGGGAAAGAGTGAGGGGTCGGGGGGCGATAGGGGGGCGAAGGAGAGGAGAGAGGAGAGAGGAGAGAAGAGAGTGGGAAGAGGAGAGAGGAGAGAGGAGAGAAGAGAGTGGGAAGAGGAGAGAGGAGAGAGGAGAGAAGAGAGTGGGAAGAGGAGAGAGGAGAGAAGAGAG